ACTTTTCTTTTTTTTGTGTATGTTTATCAAAAAAAAAATCAATTAAAACAAAATTGACATAAACAAGCTAAAGACAAGAAATAAATACGAATTCAAAAAAAGAAAAGAAATCATCTTTTTGCTTACTCTAGATAAAATAAATTTGATGAGTTCATGCGTGAAAGTAAGCGAATGATTTATAGAAGAAATAAATAAAACTTTAATTTCGTTTTTTTTTTTTTTGTGTAATAGCCAATATTATATTCATATTATCGTAGTTCATGTTCACATAGAGTTCGAATTGGTAAGTTTATTGAGAAGTAGGAATATATCATTGAGATGTTTTATTTTTCAAACATCATTAGCTTTAAATTTGAAAAATATTATTTATCAAATTCAACCAGTTGATTTACTCAAAGGAGAAGCTGTTGAGTTTTATTTCAAGCAATTAATTGTATGTTAGTTTTGTTTTTATAGTCAACTGATGAATATAAAAAGATCAATCCAAAAGGTGAAATTCCAGTAAGTAAAGAAATATTATTCATAAAATTAACAGATTAATAATAATTCTGTACTCATGAACTGACATGATGTTTGTTGTTCTTTTATTACATAGGACATCCATGTCGCTCAAACCGTTATTGAATCACGATTCTTCTGCTTAGTTTTTTTTTTGTATCTCAATGAATGAATATTTTTAAATTTCTAGAAAAATGTTAGAATTCAGTCTAAATCGCGTCTCCTTGTTAATGTGAACGCACTGAAATCGTCTGTACCGGCCACACCGGTTGTTGTCGCTTAGTTTTTCAAGTTTAATTATTTACTAAAGATGACAATACAAAAATACTCATTAGCTAGAATAATTAATCAATAGAAAGAAGTGTAGTGCTGTGTGACACAATATGTTGTGGTACATTAAATTCGCTTTTTTTTTTGAGTTGAAATCGATTCCTTCAAAACTGAAAATATTAATTTAATAGATAAATTATTAAAAAAAAAACTTGATAAAAAGGAGTAAACCATCAATCTTGATGAAAAATCGATGATATAAATAGTCAAAAATTTCTTGCAGTAGCAGTCTAAAATTTTATCCTCATTGTTCTTATTCCTGAAGTTGACCTATTCTAATAGAAACATTTTTTGTGTATTAAATTATCAAAACGTAATTTTATAAGTGTCTATTGTGGCAAATTCTTAATGAATTTTTTCGTCATTTCTATTTTCAAATGGAAAACTTTGTATACGTTCATATGTATATATAAACTCGTTTGTTATTATGTCTTACTATTAAATATCTGATGAATGATGGTCGATAGATTAGCATTGATTATATTGCTATCATCTAAGATATATTACACGGTAGTGTAGATACTAGTCTTAAGCAACACCTTCACTTACGAAAAATATCGTCAAGATAAGTACCTCATGAACTCAATCGAGAACAAAGATGTATGGATATTTCTATTGAAAATTTATAGAAATTTGAAAGTAGTACCCCAAGTCTGTGTGATGTAGTTACGAGAGATGAAACTTGGATTTATTATGGCAAAATTACATAGGTAGCAATAATAAGAAGATAGTCATTCGAAGAAACAACAATGTTTGTAGACTTTTTATGACAATTGAATCATGATTCGTTCATAAACTGCTTTCGGTAACATTAACAAATGGCATATATTATCGTGACGAATATTTAAAACGATCAGATAAAAATTTACACAAAAGAAGACCATCATCAACAACATATAGTATTAAGCTGCATTATGATAATACAAAACCACATATGTATGATATTGTTTTTAATTATTTCCAAGAAGAAAAAAATCAAACTTATGGCTCATCCACCACCATACTCTCCTGACCTGACTCTGCTTCAGACTTCTCCTTTTTCAGTTGTTTGAAAAGTTAACTTGATAGATATCTAAATACTACAAGTTGAGCTAAAACAATAACCAATAAGCTCAATTTGAATATCTGTTCACGAATACTAAAAGACATTCCAAAATTGAATTCATAGAATGAAACTTTGTATTGAACATTACGAGGCCTACTTCGAACAGTTACTGTAAAGAAGCTAGCTAAATTTTTTTTCTATGAATAAATATTTGAAAATGCACGAACTTTTTGATTATCCTATGTATATCTGATGATTTTCGTATAATAGGAAGTATTGTTCAATTTTCAAAAAAAACTATTTACTTTTTTTGATAATGAAATACATCGTAGCGTGATGACAAACTATGTTGGGGAGGTTCTTTTTTTTTTGAATGACTTTTTTGCTGCGATCCGCCTAATTATAGTTCAAGAATTATGATCAACTTGGCCGTTATCCACGTAACTCTTTCTATAGTATTTTAGACTTTGAGATCACATTAATAAGCATTGTTCGGGCAATTTGTTATACCATTTTAATATCATAACTCACATTGCTTGGAACATTGGTGTTATTGAAAAACAGAGATGTCCAGAATCTGCCGTTAAAACGGAAAATATTCCCTACTATCGAAATAAAGAGCAACGTGGATTCTCTTTTTTACTTTCACATTCGAAGAAAGTGAAAGAGAAATTGATTTACTTAATAATCAAAAAGGTCACACAAAAACAAAAAAAATAATCTTTATTAATCATTAATTATTAAAAATAGTTTTTGTTCCAAAAAACTAACGGATTGTATACTTTAATAGATTACAGAAGATATGTACGAAACTTACACTGTTATTTCTACAAGAAAAACATTTCTTAATTTGAATTTCTAAATGAAAAAATTTAGGAGAAACTTTTTCATACCGTGTATTCTGACTGCGAAAAGTTCGCCAATCCTTATTCTCTCCTACCTCACGAAGTTATTATCTCACTTTTCCTTCATCTTACGCTAGTTGGAAGACTCTAGAAGTAATAAATGGTAAAATATTATCATGTTAGAGAAGTGCAGAGTAAGCTTTTTTTGTACTCTATATTCAGATTGAGAAAAATTTTCTAACCATTACCCTATTCTACCCTGCAGGATAGAGTAAGGCAATCCTACACATCTCTATTGAAAAAAATTTATAAATTTCGTGCCTGGAGCTGATTTTATATTTAATAAAAGCGTTATCTTATTTGTTAATATTTTGAGTAGTAAAAAGATATCCATAAGAAGATGATAAATATAAACTACATGTTCAAAATATTACTTTTATCTATTTTATGAAAACCAATATAGGAAGCTGTTAGTACAATCCCTGCAGGATTAAAATGTGAAGAACGATGTAGTTGCTCTTACTAATTACAAGGAGATTATTTTATTCTATCTGTTTTGGGATACATTTCTTCACCATCCTTTTATTTAATCTTCTAGAATTGCAGTAAAAAAGTAGTTCATATATTATAATTAGATGTTATTGATCTATACAATCTTCGATTGTATGTTAACAACGTTTGTCACGATCTGTGCATATCAGGGGTGCAAATCTCTACTCTATATACTTCAACATTCCTTTTAGATCATGTTTCAAAAAAGTGCAGTAATATGCTTTGTTTGTTATCATTCAAATATTATTGAAATATGAGAAGGTCTATGAATACTTTTCTGAGTACGATAAAACGTTTATCTACTTGCTAATTAATTTTATATTACTAACAGTTAATTCAAAAAAGATAATAATCAGTTATAGGCTTGTCAAATAATTTTTTTTTCATGAGAGAAAAAAAAAAGTTTTAATTGAAAGATAATCGTCTTTATTCAGGTACTTCTTATCGATGGAAAAAAACTTACACAATCGGTACGGTAATTGTTAATCTGCAAACACTATATGGTTTTTTTTTCTGTTCAGCTTCCTATCATCGAATATCTTGATGAAACACATAAAACCCCTAGACTCTTACCTGATAATCCATATCAACGTTATCAGGTTAGCTAAAATAAAATTTTCAAAAAAAAAGAGCATATTATTATTTAACAATGCATATAATATATCAATTTTTAGGCTCGTATGATTAGTGAAATCATTGCATCTGGTATTCAGGTAATTCTTATTTATTTGTTTTTCTAATAATCATTATTATATTCGATGTTTCTTTGTCAAAAAGCCTTTGCAAAACTTAAGTGTTTTAAAACGTGTTGGTGATGAGAAAAAAGTAGAATGGACACGTCATTATATCAAAATTGGCCTTGATGGCAAGTGAATGATTGATTGATATTTAGATATAATCTTCTGATTCTAGCTGTAGAAAAAGCTCTAGAGGAATCTGCAGGTGAATATTGTGTAGGTAATCAACTTTCAATAGCCGATTGTTGTCTTATACCACAACTCTATCATGCACGACGGTATAAATTTATTTATTTATTTATTTATTTATATTTTGATCTTTTTTTATTTAGATGGAAAATTGACATAACTAAATATCCATTTATTACATCTATTGAAGAACGATTAAATACTATTGAGGCATTTATAGCGGCTCATCCAAATCAACAACCAGATTGTCCAGAAAAAGAAAAAAGCATAAAAAATAAAATAAACTAACGATTCAATTTTCTTCGTGTTGTTTTTATTTTTGTATCAATGATTTTTAGCGAATAATGCTCATCAATCAAAAAAATATCTGTTGATAAATCCTACATTAATGGACTATAGAACGATGGAGAATTTTTTTTTCCGGTTAGGTCTAACCGATCTCAGCAACATATGCTTTCTTTTTCTTTATTTGATCATAGCCATACTACTCTCGTGTAATGCAATATCAATAGACAGAAAGAAAAGAAGAAAAAAAGTGCATGTTTCCTACGGGGGCCTGTTTATTCTGTATTTTCCTTGCTCTAAGTACAAACGTACAACTATACAGAAAGCGCATGGCGAACTCAATGCTTATCCGTTCTATGCATATGAAATAGGCAACAATTTACAGTACTATCACCAATAGAGAGAAGGAGAAGAAAAAAAAAAGAACAAAAAGAAAAAGACAAAAACGGCAGACAAATATAGCAGTATACATCTAGGTGATATTTTCTTCGTAACTATCTAACGAAAGCAAGACTGATAATGAGTGGAGACGATATCAATGCTGATCGAATGCTTGAAGCAATGGCCAACAATAATCAACCATCGACAATAAATCAATTAAATGGATGCACATCGAAAGAAGAATTAGACTTAATAATGCATATACGTCGAACAATTCTTCATTTAGATGAAGATACTACAAATGATCGATCATCACCAAAAAAAGATACAATATCAACGACAACAGCAACATCATTATCAACAGCAACACTTGATTTTAAAATTGAACGTGCTAAACAAAAATTTGCAGCTGGAAGTCTTGAAGAAGCTTTTTATGAATGTTGGAAAATTCCTCAAGAACAACGTACACTTGAAATATGGAAAATTGGTGGTGAATGTTGTAAAAAATTACGTGTTTTTGCTGTTGCACAACGTTGGTTTTCAGAAGCTATTCATGTTTGTCGTTCAAATAATACTGATTTAAACGTTAAACTTGAACAAGCACGTATTGCTCGATTTTTTAATACTTATCTAACACAATATCCAATGATTGATATACGTGTTGATGAACGAGGCAAAGGTTTGTTTTCGTACATTTTATATTTATCAATAGAAAGTTTGTGTTTTTTTTTCATAGGTATTTATGCTAAACGTGTGATATCACCAGGCGAAGACATTTTTACCGACATTCCTCTTGTTCATGCACAAACAGTTGATACTTTATCAATATCACCAGCATGTGCAATATGTACAACATCTTTACTAACTCCAGCTGTTTATTTTGAAACAACATGGTCACGAATACCAGAAAAATTACAACGACAAATAGAAGAATATTGGCCACATATCACACCCATATCATGTCCATATTGTCCATTTGAATTATATTGTTCAGAAGCATGTCGTCAACAAGCATGGGATAATTATCATAAGATTTTATGTCCATCATTTAATCCTGAAACTACTGAACTTTATCAATTTTGTGCTAATGGACAAATAATTGTACGTGAAACATGGAATTCAATATTTTCACCAATGATATTGGCTAAATTAATAGCAATGATTATTCTTAACGTTGTCAATTCTGTTCAAAGTAAGATTTTAGTTCAAATATTTATCTTTACAAATGTATTATAGACAACAGAGAAAATATTCATCAACTGAAAAAGAAAATTTTCATAATCAATGTTTCTTATTTAGATCTCTATTGACTTGTACAGTTTTGGCAAGATGCTGAAATATTTTGTTCATTATTTCTAACAAAAGTTTTATGCAATAGAATTGCAAGACTTTAATACTTGTATAATACATGATAAACAAACATTGCACTTTTTCTCTAAGAAGTATATTTTATATGTTTCATTAGTTGTGACAATACACGATATTCTATTTGAAATTTCCTATTTTTTTGCACAGTAAATAATACCGTTCTTCACTTCATTCTTTAAGAGATCATCATTATTGACCTGTTTCAGTTGGAGACCTATACGAGACTCCAAAAATCTCTTTTTTCATTCTTTTTTCTTATGTGACATAACTTAGTAGAAATTATCCCAAACGTCAGTTATATTTTGTGGCTTCTTTGTATAATACTAATTTAATAGAATCGTCTTCTTTTCTTATTAATATGCAATGCAGACGTCTTTGGAAAAATGTCAAACTCTGTTATACCACATTACTGACTTCTAAATCAAGAAAATATTTTTTTTTTGTTAGAAAGGACAATGTCTGAACTACAAGTTTAGTACTAGACATATTTTTTCAGAAAGAATCTGACGAGAAGAACACACCCACACTACTCAAAAAATTCCGACATTATGAAATGCCTGTATTTCTGAATTATTTTGAGCTATATGAATGAATCAAATTGAAACAAAAATATATCAAAGTTTAGTGTATTAAAAACTTTCGCGATATCAGCTTTGACAAAATATTTTAGATGTGTTCTTGACTCTTTAATCAAAAAAGTTTCAAAAAATGAAATCTTTGTAAAATACAGACTTTTTCAAGAAATAGTCACCATCTCTAGAAATTTTACATGAACTGAATTCTCCTTAAGTTAGTTTAAGTCATAGAAATTTAGCAGAGAAAGTTATTCAAAAGATAGTTTTTACCCTTGCAAAACGACCAATATACTCACCTATTTTTTTTAGAAAAAGCTATATTTTGGTATAAAAACTAAAAGTAAATTTAACTTCCAGTACATCCATTGAAAAGAACACTCTTTACACTACAAAAATCAGTATTAAAGGTATTTTTTATTTCCCTTCTGATTTACAAAAAAAATTAACAGAAAATAAAAAATGTTGTTACTCGATAATGCAGTTGCAAAAACTGTTTTGGAGGTTTCGTTTTGAACAACATGTCTGATACAAAATTTATAGTTTAGACAATGTTCTTTCTAAACAAACGAAAATTTTTCTTGATTTGGAAGTCAGCATTATTCTATAACAGAGTTTGACATTATTTCAAAGACTCTTGCATCATATATTAAACTTGGAACCTCTTTGCATGACAAGATCTTGGCAATCATTCCAAGTGTCTTGAATACACAATGATATTTAGAAAATTTTAATTAATTTTAATTTTTTTGTCTAAAATCTAACATATCTTTTTATTCGCTCACAATACTTTCAAATCAGGATGTGGATATAGACGAAGATAAGATTGACACTCACACCCTCACAACGCTTTTAAACTAATTGATCTTATCTATAAGATTCATAGAAAAGTTTAATATTAATATCATAAATTGTCTTCGAATTTTGCTTATTTAATTCACTGTATAAAAGTTTCGTTTACAGATATTTAACAGGACATTTGAAGTTATATCGTGATTAAACATATTGTATTATTAATTGCTGATTGAGTTTTTTCTTTTAAGATGGAACTACTCAAAATAGTATTGATTTGAATTATTCACATAAACTTCAACAAACAGATGATGGTCCATTGGAACAAGCAAAAGAAATTTTTTCTGAATTTATATCATCAGGTGATGCAACATATATTCGTACAATTCCACGTATGCTCAAAATAATGAAAAATATATTTAATCATTCATCAATGCCAATACATTATGAAATTAATGAACAAGAATTTACATATCGTTTTTATCAAATAGCGTGTAATGCTCAAAGTTTTTCATCACCAACATATGCAACAACAATATATACTCGTTTTTTATCAAATATTCGACAACGTGATAGAACTGGTTTATATCAATTATTACAAACTTATTTAAAAGGCGAACCGATTGATCAAGTATTTGGTGGTCTTTTTCCTCTTCAATCTTCATTAAATCATTCATGTGACAATTCTTGTGAAATAATGGATTGTCAAGTTACACCAGAAGTTGCTGGTATCAAGGTATAGAAAAGAAAACATAAAAATTCTTATTTATAATATTTATTTAATTTGGTTTTTTTGTTTGTTGTTGTAAAGGTTCGGTGTAAACATCAACTTAAACCAGGTGATGAATTAACAATAAATTATGTTGATTTAGCACTTGGACGTCGTGCACGTCGTGCTATGCTTAAACGCGCATATAATTTTTGGTGTGAATGTCAACGATGTACATTCGAAGGTGATGATGCATATTCATGTACAGAATGTAAAACACTTTCACCAATTATTGATAATCCAAATCCAAATTTAACAAATGGTAATATACCGTATCGTAAACCATTTCCAGCTTGTAGTCGATGTCGTAATGCATGGTATTGTTCACCAACATGTCAAAAACAAGCATGGAAACAAGGACATAAACTTATATGTAGAGATTGGACAAAAGAAAGAAGTTCATCATCTGCTAATTGAAAGAAAATTTTTTTTAATAGTTATTTTTTCTTTTTTTTATTATTGTGAAGACAAAATATGTTTTCGTCTTTATTGGATAAATCACCATTGAACAAAAGGAAGTTTAATATGTTTTTTTTTCAAATAGAGAGACAAAGAAAACGCAAGCATATGAATTCATTCTTGGCAAAATACAGTCAAGAAATCTTTAACTCGCATTGTCTGACAATTTGACAATTGTCAGTTTGTACAATATTCTAATTTTATTGGGACGAATTTGAATAATCAACATCACTAATCGATCTTCTTGAATCTAGTCTTTTCATGTTCTTTTTCTCTTGATTGATCAAGATCCTCAAGAATCTGGAAACAATTATAAGTTATATAAGATTCTTTAAAATTCAGGCAAGATTCTTTATGGTTTTCTTCTGAAGGATTCCTGTCTAGCAGTCAAGACAAATGATATGTGATATACAAAATCAATGTCTTGTCACGTCTGTGTACTAGTATATACATATAGATTAAAGCATATATATGTTATTGATTCATTTATCCATGACGACAATTAATAGTCATTTTGTTCAATTTACCGAACAAAAGATATTCTTTCGAAACAGATGTATAAGTTCCATGTCTACATCAGACAAGCGAACATAACGTATGATGCAAAAGTAATAGGATAAATGTCGGATTTTATTTTTCTTCATTCGAAAGGTGCTGAACGAAAACTTTTTTTACCAGATGATAGAACTTTTTCTCCTCTTTCGAATGGTATATAACTTATTTTTATAACACGTTTTTATAGGAAAGGACGCAACAGAAAAATGAAGCACCCTTAAAAAACATTCGCACTTTTTCTATAAAAGAGCTGCAGAGAATGTCGAACCTTACATCTCTTCAATAAAGAGGTTCTGAAAAGAATAATTTCTTATTACTTGATAGGAAATTTTCTTCTCTTTCAAACACTGTATCATTCATATTTATCACACACTGGTAAGTGAAACGAGACGAGAAAAAAGAGAAACGCACACGCAATAAATTCGTAATTTTTATATGAACTCGTTAAAAACATCTTGTAGGCAAAACCAAATTATAATTACCTGTTGTTTCCGAAGATGTTTCTAGCAAGTTCATAAAAGTCGAAATAACCGCCGTTTTACGAGATCTTTTTAATGAGTCTATAAAAATCGAATCAATTTGTTGTCCAACAAGGTGTTTTTGACGAATTCATATAAAAATTACAAATTTATCTAGCTAATGTTCCTCTTTTTCATCTCGTCTCGTTTTACATACAAGCGTGCGATAAATATAAATCATACATTTTTTGAAAGAGAAGAAAATTTTCTATCAACTTATAAATAATTACTCTTTTCAGGACTTGTTTATTGAAAAGATGTGAAGTTCAACATTTTGTGTGGCTCTTTTATAGAAAAACTACGAATGCTTTTAAGGGTGGTTCTATTTTCTATTGCGTACTTGCCTATATGAATGTGTTATAAAACAATAAGTTACATACCATTCGAAAGAGGAGAAAAAGTTCTACCTTTTGGTAAAAACAGGTTTTCATTCAGCACCTTTCCCAGTAAGAAAACTAGGATCCGATATTTGTCCTATTACTTTTGCATCACACGTTAATTGATGAAAAAGATACATTTGTGAACACATTAGTAATTCCAATTATAGTTGGTTTTAGAGTTGAAAAAAGAAAACGATATTATCGAAACTAACAATTTGGTGATGAATCAATGATTCTCGATTCCAGATGCTGCATATAAAAAAAGACGAATTATAAAAATACATAAACATTTTTAATGTAAATATAAATTACATTTACTTCATTTATCTTTTTCTTATGAACTTATCAGATTCAAGAGAAAAAGAAAACCTAATCAGTCAAGAATTTAAGAACATAAGAATCTTGTCTCGAGAAGTAATTGTTAATTAATCAGCCAAAATTCGATATACATGAATAGAGGCAAAATTTTAGCTAACAATAAAAAAATAAATTCACAATCCGATAACAATCAAGGTAAGAATGTCAATTAATAAATGCATTCAACAAATTATAAGAAGATGTGATTTACAAAACAAATAGTTTTCTATCTTTGGATGCATACGTTCAGTTCGTTTTTCTTCATAAACATATTTCTCATTCGAATGATGATCTCAGATCTTTAAAAACTCAATAGGAAATCATGAAAACCAATCGTTTAGTTCGCATATTTATTATCACTCACATTGTACACTAATACTCACATCTCAAACAAAAAGAAAATCAATATGTACACTCTTAAATCTTTTTCAAAAAAAAAA